CCAGAGACCCCCAGACCCCATAGACTTACGGTCCTTCCCCAGCCCCACCTTCTGCAGCCACTGCACTGACTTCATCTGGTGCGTGGGACCCCACAGGACCCCCAAAACCCCCGAACCCCCAGGGACCCCCGAGAGTCAGGGACCCCAGAGACCCCCAGAGACCCCCATAGAACCCCCAGGTCCTTCCCCAGCCCCCTTCTGCAGCCACTGCACTGACTTCATCTGGTGCGTGGGACCCCACAGGACCCCCTGAGACCCCCCGGACCCCCCCGGACCCCCAGAGTCAGGGACCCCAGAGACCCCCATGGACCCCCAGAGACCCCCAGAGACCCCCAGGTCCTTCCCCAGCCCCACCTTCTGCAGCCACTGCACTGACTTCATCTGGTGCGTGAGGACCCTAGAGACCCCCAGGATCGGTGGGACCCCCAGGACCCCAGAGACCACCGAGGTCAGGGACCCCCATGAGACCCCATAGACTTACCCGGGTCCTTCCCCAGCCCCCCCTTCTGCAGCCACTGCACTGACTTCATCTGGTGGGTTATGGACCCCCTGAGACCCCTGAGATGGCGTGGGACCCCCCAGGGACCCCCAGAGTCAGGGACCCCATAGACCCCCAGGGACCCCATAGACCCCCATAGAGCCCCCAGGTCCTTCCCCAGCCCCCCTTCTGCAGCCACTGCACCGACTTCATCTGGTGGGTTATGGACCCCAGAGACCCCCTGAGACCCCCAGAACGGACCCCTGGGACCCCCAGAGTCAGGGACCCCAGAGACCCCCGAGACCCCCATAGACTCCCCGGGTCCTTCCCCAGCCCCACCTTCTGCAGCCACTGCACTGACTTCATCTGGTGCGTGGGACCCCCACGGGACCCCCAAAACCCCGGACCCCCTGGGACCCCCAGAGACCCCCAGAGTCAGGGACCCCGAGACTCCAGAGACCCCCATAGACCCCCCAGGTCCTTCCCCAGCCCCCCTTCTGCAGCCACTGCACCGACTTCATCTGGGGTGTAGGACCCCCTGAGACCCCCTGAGACCCCCAGAACCCCCAGAGACCCCCAGGTCCTTCCCAGCCCCCTTCTGCAGCCACTGCACAGACTTCATCTGGTGCGTGGGACCCTGAGACCCCCGAGACCCCCAGAACCCCCAGGGACCCTCAGAGACCCCCAGAGTCAGGGACCCCAGAGACCCCCAGAGACCCCCATAGACTTACCCAGGTCCTTCCCCAGCCCCACCTTCTGCAGCCACTGCACAGACTTCATCTGGTGCGTGGGACCCCTACAGGACCCCCAAAACCCCCGGACCCCTGGGACCCTCAGAGACCCCCGAGAGTCAGGGACCCCCAGAGACCCCTAGAGACCCCCCGGGTCCTTCCCCAGCCCCCTTCTGCAGCCACTGCACCGACTTCATCTGGTGGGTTATGGACCCCTGAGACCCCCAGAACCCCCTAGGACCCCCAGAGACCCCCGAGAGTCAGGGACCCCAGAGACCCCAGAGACCCCCATAGAACCCCCAGGTCCTTCCCCAGCCCCCCTTCTGCAGCCACTGCACCGACTTCATCTGGTGCGTGGGACCCCCAGAGACCCCTGAGACCCCCAGAACCCCCGGACCCCCCAGGGACCCCAGAGACCCCGAGTGTCAGGGACCCCCAGAGACCCCCAGAACCCCCGGACCCCCAGGGACCCCAGAGACCCCAAGTGTCAGGGACCCCAGAGAACCCCAGAGACCCCCAGAGACCCCCAGAGACCCTCAAAATCAGGGAGGATGGGTGGGATCCCCACAGGACCCCAGGGACTCTCAAGTGTCAGGACCCCAGAGACCCCCAGACCCCAGAGAACCCCAGAGCCCCCCAGATAGTCCCAGGTGGTTCCAGGTGGTCCTGGGTGACCCTCAGGTGGTCCCAGGTGACCCCCAGATATCCCCAGGTGGTCTCAGGTGACCCTCAGGTGGACCCAGGTGGTCCTGGATGGTCCTGGGTGGTCCCAGGTGACCCCCAGATGACCCCAGGGTGACCCCAGGTGGTCCTGGGTGGTCCTGGGTGACCCTCAGGTGGTCCCAGGTGACCCCAGATGTCCCCAGGTGACCCCAGGGGGGGTCCCAGTGTGTCCCCCCCCCATTCTCAGTGACCCCAGATGACCCCAGGGTGACCCCAGGGTGACCCCCAGCTGACCCCAGGTGGTCTCAGGTGACCCCCAGGTGTCCCCAGGGGGTCCCCTGTCCCCTCCTCCCCCCCAAATTCTCACGGTGTCGTTTCTCTCCCCTCCCCCAGGGCATCGGGAAGCAGGGGCTGCAGTGCATGGGTGAGACCTCCACCCCAAAACACCCCCAAAAACCCTAAAATCCCCCAAAACACCCCCAAAACCCTCCCGGGACCCCCAAACCCCCTCCCCCCAGGGGCATCGGGAAGCTTAGGGGCTGCAGTGCATGGGTGAGACCCCCACCCCAAAACATCCCAAAACACCCCAAAAAACCCCAAAATCCCCCAGGACCCCAAAACCCTCCAGGACCCCCAAAACCCTCCCAGGACCCCAAAAACCCCAAATCCCGGGACCCCAAAATCCCCAGGACCCCTCCCACCACTGGGACTCTTCCGGGACCCCCAAACTCTCCCCAAACCCCCAAAGCCCCCTCCGGGACCCCAAATTCCCCAGGACCCCCAAACCCCCCGGACCCCCCTGGGACTCCCAAATCCCCCTGACCCCCAAAAATTTCCCAGGACCCCAAAATTCCATCAACCTCCCAAGACCCCCAAATCCCCGGGACCCCAAAATTCCCCTCCCGGGACCCCAACCCCCCAAATGGATTTGGGAGACCCCCAAATTGGGGCGGGGGCGTGGCCTGGTGATGATTGACAGGTGTGGGGAGGGCGGGCGTTGCAACTGATGGGGGTGGAACTTAGTGGGGGTCCAGGGTGATTTTGGGGGTCTCGGGGAGGGTTTGGGGGTAACTTGGGGTTATTTTGGGGGTCCTAGGGTAATTTGGGGTGCCTGACTCTGATTTTGGGGGGGTTTTGGGGGTCTGACTCTGATTTTGGGGTAATTTTGGGTCTCTGAGGGTAATTTTGGGGTAATTTCGAGGCCCTGACTCTGATTTTGGGGTGGTTTTGGGGATCCCAGGGTAATTCTGGGGGTCTGAAGTTGATTTTGGGGGGGTTTTGGGGGTCTGATGATGATTTTGGGGTAATCTGGGTGCCTGACTCTGATTTTGGGGGGGGTTTGGGGTGCCTGACGCTGATTTTGGGGTAATTTGGGGTCTCTGACTCTGATTTTGGGGTAATTTCAAGGCCCTGACTCTGATTTTGGGGGGGTTTTGGAGTGCCTGATGCTGATTTTGGGGTAATTTGGAGGCCCTGACTCTGATTTTGGGGGGGTTTTGGGGGTCCCAGGGTAATTCTGGGGGTCTGAAGTTGTTTTTGGGGTAATTTGGGGTGCCTGACTCTGATTTTGGGGGGTTTTGGGGGTCCTGGAGTAATTTGGGGTCTCTGACTCTGATTTTGGGGTAATTTGGGGTGCCTGACTCTGATTTCGAGGGGTTTGGGGTCTGATGATGATTTTGGGGTAATCTGGGTGCCTGACTCTGATTTTGGGGGGGTTTTGGGGGTCCCAGGGTAATTCTGGGGGTCTGAAGTTGATTTTGGGGTAATTTGGGGTGCCTGACTCTGATTTTGGGGGGGTTTTGGGGATCCCAGGGTAATTCTGGGTGTCTGAAGTTGATTTTGGGGTAATTTGGGGTGCCTGACTCTGATTTTGGGGGGGGTTTGGGGATCCCAGGGTAATTCTGGGGGTCTGAAGTTGATTTTGGGGTAATTTGGAGGCCCTGACGCTGATTTTGGGGGGGTTTTGGGGGTCTCTCCCCCCCCAGTTTGCAGTTTCGTGGTCCACAAACGCTGTCACGAGTTCGTCACCTTCGAGTGCCCCGGGGCCGGAAAGGGACCCCAGACCGACGTGAGGGGGGGTCCTGGGGGAGTTTTGGGGGTCCTGGGGGAATTTGGGGGTCCTGGGGGTTTTGGGGGTCCTGGATGGTCCTGGGGGCCTAGGTCCTGAGGGGTCTCAGGGGGTCCTGGGGCTGGAAAGGGACCCTGGGACTGATGTGAGGGGGGTCCTGGGGGTCTTGGGGGGTCTTGGGGGTCCTGGGGGTTTTGGGGGTCTTGGGGTGGTCTTTGACTCGTGAGGGGGTCTTGGGGGGTTTTTGGGGGTCCTGGGGGGGTCTTAGGGGTCCTGGGGGGGTTTTGGGGGTCCTGGGGGGTTGGGGGTCCTGGGGGTCCTGGGGGGTTTTGGGGGTCCTGGGGGGTCTCAGGGGGTCCTGAAGCCAGCAAGGGACCCCAGACCGACGTGAGGGGAGGTTGGGGGTCCTGGGGGTTTGGGGGTTCCTGGGGGTTTGGGGTCCTGGGGGTTTGGGGTCCTGGGGGTTCTGGGGTCCTGAGATTTTAGGGGGTTTTGAGGGGTTTTTGGGGGTCTCCAAGGGCTCGGTGGTCCCCAGGACCCCGGAACAAGCACAAGTTCAAGATCCACAGCTACAGCTTTGGGGGGTCCTGGGGGGTTTTTGGGGTCTCTGGATGTTTGGGGGTCCCGGGGGTTTTAGGGGGTTTTGGGGGGTTTCTGGGGTCCCCAAGAGCTCGGTGGTCCCCCCAGGACCCCCGGAACGAGCACAAGTTCAAGATCCACAGCTACAGCTTTGGGGGATTTGGGGAGGTTTTGGGGTCCCTGGGAGGTTTGGGGTCCTGGAGGGTCCTGGGGGTTTTAGGGGGTTTTGGGGGGTTTTGGGGTCCCCAAGGGCTCGGTGGTCCCCCAGGACCCCGGAACGAGCACAAGTTCAAGGGTGCAGCTCCAGTTTTAGGGGTCCCTGGGGGGTTTTAGGGGTTTTGGGGTCCCTGATTTTTCTGGGGTCTTGGGGTCCCGGGGGTTTTGGGGGGTTTCAGGGGGTTTCTGGGGTCACCAAGAGCTCGGTGGTCCCCCAGGACCCCGGAACAAGCACAAGTTCAAGATCCACAGCTACAGCTTTGGGGGTTTTGGGGAGGTTTTGGGGTCCCTGGGGAGGTTTGGGGTCCTGGGAGGTTTGGGGGTCCCGGGGTTTTGGGGGTTTTGGGGTTTTTGGGGTCCCCAAGAGCTCGGTGGTCCCCCAGGACCCCGGAACAAGCACAAGTTCAAGATCCACAGCTACAGCTTTGGGGGATCTCTGGGGGGATTTGGGGAGGTTTTGGGGGTTTTGGGGTCTCTGGATGTTCAGGGGTCCTGGGGGTTTTGGGGGGTTTCGGGGGTTTCTGGGGGTCCCCAAGGGCTCGGTGGTCCCCCAGGACCCCCGGAACAAGCACAAGTTCAAGATCCACAGCTACAGCTTTGGGGGGTATTTGGGGGGATTTGGGGTGGTTTTGGGGTCCTGGGGAGGTTTGGGGGTTCTGGGGGTTTTAGGGGGGTTTTAGGGGGTTTCTGGGGGTCCCCAAGGGCTCGGTGGTCCCCCCAGGACCCCCGGAACAAGCACAAGTTCAAGATCCACAGCTACAGCTTTGGGAGGGGATTTGGGGAGGTTTTGGGAGTCACTGGGGGGTTTTGGGGTCCCTGGGGGTTTTGGGGGGGGTTTCAGGGGGTTTCTGAGGGTCCCCAAGAGCTCGGTGGTCCCCCCAGGACCCCCGGAACAAGCACAAGTTCAAGATCCACAGCTACAGCTTTGGGGGGTCCCTGGGGGCTTTTGGGGTCTCTGGATGTTCAGGGGTCCCAGGGTTTTAGGGGATTTGGGGGTTTTGGGGTCCTGGGGAGGTTTGGGGTCCCGGGGGTCCCAGGGGTTTTGGGGGGTTTTGGGGGTTTTTGGGGTCCCCAAGGGCTCGGTGTCCCCCAGGACCCCGGAACAAGCACAAGTTCAAGATCCACAGCTACAGCTTTGGGGGGATTTGGGGGGATCTGGGGAGGTTTTGGGGTCCTGGGGGGTTTTGGGGTCCTAGGGGTTTTAGGGGGTTTTTTGGGGTCCCCAAGGGCTCGGTGGTCCCCCCAGGACCCCTGGAACAAGCACAAGTTCAAGATCCACAGCTACAGCTTTGGGGGGTCCCTGGGGGGGGTTTTGGGGTCCCTGGTTGTTTTGGGGTCCTGGAGGGTCCTGGGGGTTTAGGGTTTTGGGGGTTTTTGGGGTCCCAAAGGGCTCGGTGGTCCCCCAGGACCCCCGGAACAAGCACAAGTTCAAGATCCACAGCTACAGCAGCCCCACCTTCTGCGACCACTGCGGCTCCCTCCTCTACGGGCTCGTCCACCAGGGCATGAAGTGCTCCTGTGAGCACGGGGAGGGATTTAGGGGGCTTTGGGGGTCCTGGGGGCTTTGGGGTCCTGGGGTGTCCTAGGGGGTTGGAAGGGATTTGGGGGTGGGAGGGGATTTGAGGGGGTGGGAGGGGAGGGCAGGGGGCCATGGGGTGCTCCTGTGAGCACCGGGGACTCTGGGGGCTTTGGGGGGCTTTGGGGGTCCTGAGGGGTTCTGGGGATTGGAAGGATTTGGGGGTTCTAGAGGGGTTTTGGGTGGTCCTGGGGGTGGGAGGGGATTTAGGGGGTGGGAGGGGCGCTAGGGGCATGAAGTGCTCCTGTGAGCCCGGGGGTCTCGAGGGGCTCTGGGGGCTTTGGGGGTCCTGGGGGGCTTTGGGGGTCCTGAGGGGTCCTGGGGGTTGGAGGGATTTGGGGGTGGGAGGGGATTTGAGGGGTGGGAGGGGGAAGGTGCCAGGGCATGTAGTGCTCCTGTGAGCCTGGGGGCTCTGGGGGTCTTTGGGGGCCTTTGGGGGTCCTGGGGGCTTTGGGGGTCCTGGGGTGTCCTAGGGGTTGGAAGGGATTTGGGGGTGGGAGGGATTTGGGGGTCGGAGAGGGAGGGCAGGGGGCCATGGGGTGCTCCTGTGAGACCGGGGGTCGGGGGGCTTTTGGGGGTCCTGGGGGCTTTGGGGGTTCTGAGGGGTCCTGGGGGGATTGGAGGATTTGGGAGTTTAGAAGGGGCTTTGGGGGTCCTGGGGGTGGGAGGGGCTTTGGGGGTCCTGGGGGTGGAGGGGACCTTTGTGTGACCCTCCTGTGACCCCTGCCTGACCTCTGACTCCTCCTCTGACCCCTTCATGACCCCTGTCTGACCTCTGACCCCTGACTGACCCCCATGTGACCTTTCCTGACCTTTCCACCCCCTGACCCCTACCTGACCTCTGACCCCGTGTGACCCCTGTGTGACCCCCTGTGTGACCTCTGCCCCCTGTGTGACCCCTGTGTGACTTCTGACCCTCGTGTGACCCCTGTGTGACCCCTGTGTGACCTCTGCCCCCCGTGTGCCCCCTGTGTGCCCCCCGTGTGCCCCCCGTGTGACCTTTGACCCCGGTGTGCCCCCCCTGTGCCCCCTGCCCCCGTTCAGGCTGTGAGATGAACGTCCACAAGCGCTGCGTGCAGAGCGTGCCCTCCCTCTGCGGGGTCGACCACACCGAGCGCCGGGGGCGGCTCCAGATCCGCATCCAGGCCCTGCCCGGGGAGCAGCTACACGTTACTGGTACCCAAAAACCCAAAAATCAACCCAAAATCCATCCCAGCACCCCAAAATACCCCAAAATCCACCCAAACCCATCCCCGCACCGAGCGCCGGGGGCGGCTCCAGATCCGCATCCAGGCCCTGCCCGGGGAGCAGCTCCACGTTACAGGTCCTGAAACACCCCAAATTCCACCTCAGCACCCCAAAAAACCCCAAAAACACCTGAAAATACCCCAAACCCACCCCAAAATACCCCCAAAAACCATCAAAAACCATCCCAGCACCGAGCGCCGGGGGCGGCTCCAGATCCACATCCAGGCCCTGCCCGGGGAGCAGCTCCACGTCACAGGTCCTGAAACACCCAAAAACCCCAAAAATCAACCCAAAACCCACCCCAAAATACCCTCAAACCCATCCCAGCCCTGAGCGCCGGGGGCGGCTCCAGATCCGCATCCAGGCCCTGCCCAGCGAGCAGCTACACGTCACAGGTCCTGAAACACCCAAAAACCCCAAAAATCAACCCAAAAACCACCCTAAAATACCCCAAAACCCACCCAAAACCATCCCCGCCCTGAGCGCCGGGGGCGGCTCCAGATCCGCATCCAGGCCCTGCCCGGGGAGCAGCTACACGTTACCGGTACCCAAAAACCCAAAAACCCCAAAAATCAACCCAAAAAACACCCAAAAATGCACCCAAAACCATCCCCACCCCGAGCGCTGGGGGCGGCTCCAGATCCGCATCCAGGCCCTGCCCGGGGAGCAGCTCCACGTCACAGGTCCTGAAACACCCCAAATTCCAACTCAGCACCCCAAAATACCCCAAAACCACCCTAAAATACCCCAAAATTCACCCAAATCCCATCCCCACACCGAGCGCCGGGGGCGGCTCCAGATCCGCATCCAGGCCCTGCCCGGGAGCAGCTCCACGTTACTGGTACCCAAAAACCCAAAAACCCCAAAAATCAACCCAAAAACCACCCTAAAATACCCCAAAAACCACCCAAAACCATCACCACCCCAAAAACCCAAAAACACCTGCAAATACCCCAAAAACCACCCCAAAATACCCAAAACCCATCCCCGCACCGAGCACCGGGGGCGGCTCCAGATCCCCATCCAGGCCCTGCCCGGGGAGCAGCTCCACGTCACAGGTCCTGAAACACCCAAAACCCCAAAATCACCCCAAAATACCCCCAAAACACCCCAAAAATACCCCAAAACCACTCTCAAAATCACCCCCAAAATCCACCCCAAAATCCACCCCAAAATCCACCCCAAAATAGCCCAAAATCGCCCTGGGAAGCCCCAAAATCCACCTGGGATATCCCAAAATACCAAAACTCCCCCAAAATCCCCCCCAAATGCCCCTGAAATCCCCCAAAATTCCAAATAAACCCCCAAAATTCCCAAAAAAACCCCAAAATTCCCCAAAATTCCCAAAAAAACCCCAGAATTCGGTGTTTTTCTGCAGTGGGGGAGGCTCGGAACCTGATCCCGATGGATCCCAACGGGCTGTCGGATCCCTGAGCCCCCCAAAACCCCCCCAAATCCCCCCAAAACCCCTCAAATCCCCCCAAAATCCCCCAGAATTCCCAAAATTCCATGTTTTTCCTGCAGTGGGGGAGGCTCGGAACCTGATCCCGATGGATCCCAACGGGCTGTCGGATCCCTGAGCCCCCAAAACCCCCCAAAACCCCTCAAATCCCCCCCAAATCCCCCAAAATTCCAAATAAAACCCCAAAAATCCCCAAAATTCCCCAAAAAAACCCAAAATTCGGTGTTTTTCTGCAGTGGGGAGGCTCGGAACCTGATCGATGGATCCCAGCAGGCTGTCGGATCCCTGAGCCCCCAAAACCCTCAAATCCCCCAAAATTCCAAATAAAACCCCCCAAAATCCCCAAAATTCCCAAAAAACCCCCAAAATTCCGTGTTTTTCCTGCAGTGGGGGAGGCTCGGAACCTGATCCCGATGGATCCCAACGGGCTGTCGGATCCCTACGTGAAGCTCAAGTTGATCCCCGACCCCAAGAACGTCTCCAAGCAGAAGACGCGGACGGTGAAGGCGACGCTGAACCCCGTCTGGAACGAGGCCTTCCTCTTGTGAGGGGAACCCCAAAATCACCCCAAAACAGCCCTGAAATATCCCTAAAATATCCCAAAAATATCCCTAAAATAACCCCAAAATATCCCCAAAATATGCCCAACGTCACCCCAAAATATCCCCAAAACAGCCCTGAAATATCCCTAAAATATCCCAAAAATATCCCTAAAATAACTCCAAAATATCCCCAAAATATCCTCAAAATATCCCCAAAATATCCCCCAAATATCCCCAAAATAACCCCAAAATATCCTTAAAAATAACCTCAAAATATCCCTGAAATATCCCTAAAATATCCCCAAAATAACCCCCAAAAATAACAACCCTCTCTGGAACGAGGCCTTCCTCTTGTGAGGGGACCCTCAAAATATCCCCCAAATGTCCCCAAAATAACCCCAAAATATCCTTAAAAATAACCTCAAAATATCCCCTAAACGTCCCCAAAATATCCCCAAAATATTCCTAAAATATTCCAAAAATATCCCCAAAATATCCCCAAAATATCCCTAAAATATCCCCAAAATAACCCCCAAAAATAACAACCCCCTCTGGAACGAGGCCTTCCTCTTGTGAGGGGACCCCCAAAATACCCCAAAATAACCCAAAAATATCCCTGAAATAACCCCAAAATATCCCTAAAATAACCCCAAAATAACCCCAAAATAACCCCCAAAAATAACAACCCCGTCTGGAACGAGGCCTTCCTCTTGTGAGGGGACCCCCAAAATCACCCCAAAATATCCCCAAAATCAGCCCCAAAATATCCCTAAAATATCCCAAAAGTAACCCCAAAATAACCCCAAAAATAACTGCAAAGTAACCCCAAAATAACCCCAAAATATCCCTAAAATACCCCTAAAATATCCCCAAAATATCTCCCAAAATATCCCCAAAACCACCTCAAAATACACCCAAAATATCCCTAAAGTAACCCCAAAATAACCCCAAAAATAACTGCAAAGTAACCCCAAAATAACCCCAAAATATCCCCTAAATCACCCCAAAATACCCCAAAATAACCCTAAAAATAGCCTGAAAGCCACCCCAAAATTGGGGCGTCACTGGGGTGTCACTGGGGTGTCACACATGTGTCACACATGTGTCATACATGTTACATACATGTGTCATACATGTGTCATACGTGTCACACACGTGTCACTGACAGCACCCTCCGCCCCGGTGACGCCGAGCGCCGCCTGTCGGTCGAGGGCTGGGACTGGGACTGGGGGGGTTGGGGTGACACTGGGGTGTCACTGGGGTGACACTGGGATATCCCATGTCACACACATGTCATACACGTGTTACATACGTGTCACATACAGCACCCTCCGCCCCGGTGACGCCGAGCGCCGCCTGTCGGTCGAGGGCTGGGACTGGCACTGGGGGGGTTGGGGTGACACTGGGGCGACACTGGGGTGACACTGGGGTGTCACTGGGATATCCCATGTCACACACATGTCATACATGTTACATACATGTGTCATACATGTAATTTACAGCACTCTCTGCCCCGGTGACGCCGAGCACCGCCTGTCGGTCGAGGTCTGGGACTGGCACTGGGGGGGTTGGGGTGACACTGGGGTGTCACTGGGGTGTCCCATGTCACATGTGTGACCCATACATGTTACATATGTGATACATACGTGTGTCATACAGCACCCTCCGCCCCGGTGACGCCGAGCGCTGCCTGTTGGTCGAGGGCTGGGACTGGCACTGGGAGGGTTGGGGTGACACTGGGGTGACACTGGGGTGTCACACACGTCATACATGTGTCATACATGTTACATACGTGTTACATACATGTCACATGTAGCACTCTCCGCCCCGGTGACGCCGAGCGCTGCCTGTCGGTCGAGGTCTGGGACTGGGGTGACACTGGGGTGACACTGGGGTGTCCCATGTCACATGTGTGACCCATACATGTTACATACATGTGTCATACATGTAATTTACAGCACCCTCCGCCCCGGTGACGCCGAGCGCCGCCTGTCGGTCGAGGGCTGGGACTGGGACTGGGGGGGTTGGGGTGACACTGGGGTGACACTGGGGTGATACTGGGGTGTCACACATGTCATACATGTTACATACATGTTACATACATGTAATTTACAGCACCCTCCGCCCCGGTGACGCCGAGCGCCGCCTGTCGGTCGAGGGCTGGGACTGGGACCGGGGGGGTTGGGGTGACACTGGGGTGTCACTGGGGTGTCCCATGTCACATGTGTGACCCATGCATGTTACATATGTGATACATACGTGTGTCATACAGCACCCTCCGCCCCGGTGACGCCGAGCGCTGCCTGTTGGTCGAGGGCTGGGACTGGGACTGGGGGGTCACTGGGGTGACACTGGGGTGACACTGGGGTGTCACACACGTCATACATGTGTCATACATGTTACATACGTGTTACATACATGTCACATGTAGCACTCTCCGCCCCGGTGACGCCGAGCGCTGCCTGTCGGTCGAGGTCTGGGACTGGGGTGACACTGGGGTGACACTGGGGTGTCCCATGTCACATGTGTGACCCATACATGTTACATACATGTGTCATACATGTAATTTACAGCACCCTCCGCCCCGGTGACGCCGAGCGCCGCCTGTCGGTCGAGGGCTGGGACTGGGACTGGGGGGGTTGGGGTGACACTGGGGTGTCACTGGGGTGACACTGGGATATCCCATGTCACACACATGTTACATACATGTTACATACATGTCATTGACAGCACTCTCCGCCCCGGTGACGCCGAGCGCCGCCTGTCGGTCGAGGTCTGGGACTGGGACCGCACGTCCCGCAACGACTTCATGGGGGCCATGAGCTTTGGGGTGGCCGAGCTGCTCAAGGGACACGTCGATGGATGGTGGGGAGGGCTGGGGGGTCCTGGGGGGTCCTGGGGGGATTTGGGGGAGATTTGGGGGAATTTAGGGGAATGTGAGGAGCTTTAGGGTGGCTGAGCTGCTCAAGGGACACGTCGATGGATGGTGGGGAGGGGTCTGAGGGGGTCCTGGGGGGGACTGGGGAGGATTTGGGGGGGTTTGGGGGGGTTTGAGGGGATTTGGGGGGATTTGGGGGGTTGGAGGGAGCTTTGGGGTGGCCGAGCTGCTCAAGGGACACGTCGATGGGTGGTCAGAAAGGGGGGCTGGGGGGGTCCTGAGGGGGATTGGGGGGATTTGGGGGTTTGGGGGGATTTGGGGATTTTGTGGGTTGGAGGGGATTTGGGGGGATTTGGGGGGTTTGAGGGGATTTGGGGGGTTTGAGGAGCTTTGGGGTGGCCTGAGCTGCTCCAAGGGACACGTCGATGGGTGGTCAGCAAGGGGGCTAGGGGGTCCTGGGGAGTGTTGAGGGGGACTTGGGGGGTTTGAGGGGATTTGGGGGTTTGAGGAGCTTTGGGGTGGCCAGGCTGCTCAAGGGGCCGCATCGATGGATGAGTCAGAAAGGGGGCTGGGGGATTTGGGGGATTTGATGGGGTTTGAGGGGGGTTTGGGGGGTTTGAGGGTTTGGGGGGGTTTGAGGGGGATTTGGGGGGTTTGGGGAGGATTTGGGGGAGGATTTGGGGGGAATTTGGGGGGTTTGAGGAGATGTTACATATGTGATACATACGTAAGTCATACAGCACCCTCCGCCCGGTGACGCCGAGCGCTGCCTGTTGGTCGAGGGCTGGGACTGGCACTGGGAGGGTTGGGGTGACACTGGGGTGACACTGGGGTGTCACACACGTCATACATGTGTCATACATGTTACATACGTGTTACATACATGTCACATGTAGCACTCTCCGCCCCGGTGACGCCGAGCGCTGCCTGTCGGTCGAGGTCTGGGACTGGGGTGACACTGGGGTGACACTGGGGTGTCCTCATGTCACATGTGTGACCCATACATGTTACATACATGTGTCATACATGTAATTTACAGCACCCTCCGCCCCGGTGACGCCGAGCGCCGCCTGTCGGTCGAGGGCTGGGACTGGGACTGGGGTGACACTGGGGTGTCACTGGGGTGTCACTGGGGTGTCACACACATGTCATACATGTTACATACGTGTTACATACATGTAATTTACAGCACCCTCCGCCCCGGTGACGCCGAGCGCCGCCTGTCGGTCGAGGGCTGGGACTGGGACTGGGGGGGTTGAGGTGACACTGGGGTGTCCCATGTCACATGTGTGACCCATACATGTTACATATGTGTCACATACGTGTGTCATACAGCACCCTCCGCCCCGGTGACGCCGAGCGCTGCCTGTTGGTCGAGGGCTGGGACTGGGACTGGGAGGGTTGGGGTGACACTGGGGTGACACTGGGGTGTCACACATGTCATACATGTCACACACATGTCACACACGTGTCATACATGTTACATACGTGTTACATACATGTCACATGTAGCACTCTCCGCCCCGGTGACGCCGAGCGCTGCCTGTCGGTCGAGGTCTGGGACTGGGGTGACACTGGGGTGACACTGGGGTGTCCCATGTCACATGTGTGACCCATACATGTTACGTACATGTGTCATACATGTAATTTACAGCACCCTCCGCCCGGTGACGTCGAGCGCCGCCTGTCGGTCGAGGGCTGGGACTGGGACTGGGGCTGGGGTGACACTGGGTGTCACTGGGGTGACACTGGGATATCCCATGTCACACACATGTTAGCATACATGTTACATACATGTCATTGACAGCACTCTCCGCCCGGTGACGCTCGAGCGCCGCCTGTCGGTCGAGGTCTGGGACTGGGACCGCACGTCCCGCAACGACTTCATGGGGGCCATGAGCTTTGGGGTGGCCGAGCTGCTCAAGGGACACGTCGATGGATGGTGGGGAGGCTGGGGTCCTGGGGGTCCTGGGGGATTTGGGGGAGATTTGGGGGAATTTGGGAATTTGAGGAGCTTTGGGGTGGCCGAGCTGCTCAAGGGACACGTCGATGGATGGTGGGAGGGGTCTGAGGGGGTCCTGGGGGACTGGGGAGGATCTGGGGGGGTTTGGGGGGGTTTGAGGGGATTTGGGGATTTGGGGGGCTGGAGGAGCTTTGGGGTGGCGAGCTGCTCAAGGGACACGCCGATGGTGGTCAGAAAGGGGGGCTGGGGGTCCTGAGGGGATTGGGGAGATTTGGGGGCTTGGGGGATCTGTGGTGGTGGGTTGGAGGATCTGGAGATCTGGGGGCTTGAGGGGATTTGGGGGCTTGAGGAGCTCTAGGGGCCTGAGCTGCCCAAGGGACACGCCGATGGGTGGTCAGCAAGGGGGCTGGGGGTCCTGGGGTGCTGAGGGGGACTTGGGGGTTTGAGGGGATTTGGGGGTTTGAGGAGCTTTAGGGTGGCAGCTGCTCAATGGACCTATCGATGGATGAGTCAGAAAGGGGGCTGGGGGATTTGGGGGACTTGATGGGGTCTTGAGGGGGTCTAGGGGGTTTGAGGGTTTGGGGCTTGAGGGGGATCTGGGGGCTTGGGAGTGATCGGGAGGATCTGGGGAACTTGGGGGTTTGAGGAGCTTTGGGGTGGCCTAGAGCTGCTCAAGGGACACGTCGATGGGTGGTCAACAAGGGGGCTGGGATTTGGGGGCTTGAGGGGATTTGGGGGTTTGGGGGATTTGGGGGTTTGGGGGATTTGGAGGCTTGATGAGCTTTGGGGTAGCTGAGCTGCTCAAGGACACGTCGATGGGTGGTCAGCAGGGGGCTGGGGGTCCTGGGGTGTTGAGGGGGACTTGGGGGTTTGGGGAGGATCTGGGGGTTGAGGAGGATCTGGGGGAGATTTGGGGTGGGCTGAGGAGGATTTGGAGATCTGGTGGTTTGGGGAGATCTGGGGGTTTGAGGGGATCTGGGGGACTTAGGGGGACTTGGGGTGGGCTGGGGAGTCCGGGAGGGGCTTTGGGGGACTTGGGGGATCTGAGGGTCTGGGAGTCTGGGGGTTAAATTGGAGGGGTTGTTTCCATTCTGGGAGCGTTAAATTTTGGGGAGGGGTTTAAATTTGGGGGAGGGGGTTTAAATGGGGAGGGGTCCCTGCCCCCCAGGTTCAAGCTGCTGAACCAGGAGGAGGGCGAGTATTACAACGTGCCCGTGGCCGACACCGACGACTGCGGCCTCCGACCCAGGCCAGGTCTGGGACCCCTAAAAACCACCTGGGACCCCAAAACCCCAAACCACCCCCAAACCCCTGGGACCCCAAAACCCCAAAACCACCCCAAACCCTGGACTCCTAAAATCCCCCCAAAACCACCCCCAAACCCTGGGACCCCCTGGGACCCCCAAAACTCCCCTGGGACCCTCTAAACCCCCTGGGCCCCCTAGCCCCTCCCCTGGGACCTCAAAACTCCCCCTGGGACCCCTAAACCCCCCTGGGCCCCCAAAACCCCCTCTGGACCCCCCAAAACTCCCTGGGACCCTCAAACCCCCTCTGGGACCCTTTAACCCACCCCCAAAACCACCCCCAAACCCCTGGGACCCCCAAACCACCCCCTCTCCCCAAAAATCCTCCTGAAACCTCCAAAATCCTCCCCCAAAACTGCCCTGGGACCCCAAACCACCTCCCAAAATTCCCCAAAACCACTGGGATGCCCCTGGGACCCCAAAATCTCCTGGGACCCCCTAAATTTGCTATTTGTGTTGCAGGCCTGTAACTACCCCTGAGGCTCTACGAGGTAATGACCCTGGGACCCCCCATGACCCCCATGACCCCTTTGACCCCCTTTCACCCCTGACCCCAGACCCCTCTGTGACCCCCCTATGACCCTCTTGACCCCCCAGACCCCTCTGACGACCCCCATGACCCCTTGACCTCTCTTTTGTGACCCCCCATGACCCCCCTTTGCCTCCTCTGGGCCCCCTCTTTGTCCCCCTTAACCCCCTTTGACCCTGACCCTTTGTGACCCCCTTTGTGACCGCCTCTTTGACCCCCCAACCCTCTGACCCCTCCTTGACTCCCCAGACCCCCTTTATGACCCTTGTGACCCCCATGACCCCTTGACCCCCTTTTGATCCCCTCTTAACCCCTTTGACCCTGACCCTTTGTGACCCCTTCGACCCCCCTTGACCCCAACCCCTCAGACCTCCTCTTAGACCCCCTTGTGACCCCAACCCCTGAACCCCTTGACCTCCTTTGTGACCCCCTTGACCCTAACCCCCTCTGACTCCCTCCTTGACTTCTCAGACTCTCTCTTTATGACCCCTTTAACCCTCGACCTCTCTCCTTGACCCTGCCACCCTTCTGACCCTCTCTGTGACCCTTTATGACCTCCTCAACCCCTTTTGTAGACCTCTCTTTGACCCCCTTTGACCCCAACCCCTTTGATCCTCCTCCTTGACCTTCCAGACCCTTATGACCCCTTTAACTCCCCTTGACCCTCTTTGACCCCTCCTTGACCCCCTTTTTCTACTCTTTGCCCTTTGCCCCTGACAGAAAGTCAGCTGGGGCCCTCCTCCTCCCCCTGCCCCCTCCCCCCTCCCCGAGCCCCACCTGACCCAAAAAGGCTTTTGGCACCGGCCGCTCCCACCTCGGGGACTTCACCTTCCTCATGGTGCTGGGCAAGGGCAGCTTTGGCAAGGTAGGACCCCAAAAACACCCCTAGATCACCCCAAAATCATCCTAAACACCCTAAATACCCTCAAAACTACTCCTAAAATACCCCCAAACCCACCCTAAAATACCCCAAAATCCACCCAAAACACCCCTGGGGGGCTTCACCTTCCTCATGGTGCTGGGCAAGGGCAGCTTCGGCAAGGTGAGACCCCAAAAACGCCCTAGATCACCCCAAAATCATCCTAAAACACCCTAAAACATCCAGAAGCCACCCCAGAGTACCCTAAAATACACCCAAAAATTCCCCCCAAACCTGAACCCCCAAAATCTCCCCAAATCTGGACCTCCCTAAACCCCCCTAAACCCCTGGACCCTTCCCAAACTCCTTCCAAACCCCTTGGGACTCCTAAACCCTTTGATCGCTCTAAATCTCTCAATCCCCCAAAATCCTCCCAAACCCTCTGGGACCCTCTAAAACCCTGACCTCCCAAACCTGAATCCACTCAAACCCCTGAGACCTCCAAAACCTCCCCAAACCACCTGAGACCCTCAAAATCCCCCCAAACCTGAACCCCTGCCAAACTTGAACTCCACAATACCGTGGATCCCTAAAATCCCCTAAAATTTAGTCAAACCCTGGGACTCTAAACCCTCCAACCTCCTGGACTTAAACGTCCCCTCTAAACTGCCTGGGACCTCAAAATCCTCTAAACCTGAACTCTCACAAACTTGAACCCATAAATACTGTAGATCCCTCAAAACTCTGTAATTCTACCAAACTCCTGACCCCTAAAATCCCTTCAAACCCTGGGACCCCCAAACCTCCTCAAACCACTCTGATCCCCAAAGTCCCCCTAAACCTGAACCCCAAAATCTCCTGATCCTCTGCAACCTTGCTTCTAAGCTTCTCTCTGACCTCTGGCTCTAAACCTCTAGGACCTCTAAAATTCCTGATCCCTCTAAAATCTCTAAAACCCCTTCTCCTGCACCGTGCCCAGGTGATGCTGGCTGGAGCGCTGCCTGTCCGAGCTCTTCGCCATCAAGATCCTGAAGAAGGACGTGGTGGTCCAGGACGACGACGCCGCCTCCACCTCTGGTGGAGCGCCGGGTGCTGGGCCCTGGGCCCGCGGCCCCACCTCTCACCCACCTGCACTCCACCTTCCAGACCCCCGTGAGCCCCACGGGCACTGGGAGGCACTGGGAGGGCACTGGGAGGCACTGGGAGGCACTGAGGCACTGAGGGCACTGGAGGGACTGGGAGGGCAATTGGGGCGGTTTCACTCTTTCACATGTCTGCCATTTTCCCCTCACGGTTTCCCGCCATTTTCCCTCACGTTTCCCTACCATTTTCCCCTCACGTTTCCCATCCTTTTCCCTCACATTTCCTACATTTTCTCACATTTCCCTGCCTTTCCTCACATTTCTCCATTTCCCTCACATTTCCCACTTTCCCTCACATTTCTCCATTTCCTCACATTTCCTCTCCATTTCCCTCTACATTTCTCATTTCCTTACATTTCTCATCTCTTTTTGTCTCTCACATTTCCTCCATTTCCCTCACATTTCCCAATCTTTTCCCTCACATTTCCTCCATTTTCCCTCACATTTCTCCACTGTCCCCTCACATTTCCCTCCTTTTCCCCTCACATTTCCTGCCATTTTTCCCTCACGTTTCTCCACTTTTCTTACCTTGAATTTCCTACCTGTTTTTTCCTCACATTTCTCTACATTTTCCTCACATTTTTCTCCATTTCCTCACATTTCCCATTTCTCTCATTTCTCACCCTTTCCTCACATCTCTCCATTTTCCCTCACATTTCTCCCTTTTCCCTCATATCTCCATTTCACATTCTCCATTTTTCCTCACATTTCCTCCATTTTCCTCACATTTCCCTGCATTTTCCCCTCACATTTCCCTCCTTTTCCCCTCACATTTCCCTCCATTTCCCCCTCACATTTCCCTCTGTTGTCCCCTCACATTTCCCTCAATTTTCTCCTCACCTTTCCCTCCATTTCCTCACATTTCTCATTTTCCTCACTTTTCTCTCCATTTCTCCTCACATTTCCCACACTCTTTCCTCTCACATTTCCTCTTTGTCCCCTCACATTTCCCACAATTTTCCCCTCACATTTCCCACCTTTTACCCCTCAGGGGGTCCCTGACCATGTGCGTGTCCCCCCCACCAAGTCCCTATTTCCTCATTACTGGGAATTCCTGGGCAAGGCTTGGGGGTGATTTGGGATCACTGGGATGAACTGGGATGAACTGGGATGGACCGGGGGGGTTCCCTGACCGTGTCCCCCCCATTTGTCTTCCAGGACCGGCTCTATTTCGTCATGGAATACGTCACGGGGGGGGACCTGATGTACCACATCCAGCAGGTGGGGAAGTTCAAGGAGCCCCACGCCATGTGAGTAATCCCCCCAAAAAATTACCCCCAATTTACCCCCAATTTAGCCCCAATTTTGGGGTCCCCTCCTGACTCCCCCCATTTCTAAATTTCCTTCCTTCCACCCCCAACAGGTTTTACGCTGCCGAAATCGCCATCGGTCTCTTCTTCCTCCACAACCAGGGCATCATCTACAGGTGGGAGCCCCCCCAAAATCCATCTTTGACCTCCCCCCAAAATCCATCTTTGACCTCCCCCCAAATCCATCTTTGACCTCCCCTAAAACTCCCCTTTGAGCACTAATCCCCCCAAAACCCTCTTTGACTCCCTCAAACTCTCCTCAAAACCCATTTTAACCCTCCAACCCCCTAAACCTCTCAAATCCCTCCCTAGGACCCTCCTGAACCTCTCAACCTCTAGAAACCTCCCTAAAGCTCACCTTTGAACTCCCTAAATCCCTCCAAACCTCCCTTTATCCTCCTCAAACTCCCTCTAAAACCCCTTTGAATCTCCTAAATCCTTTAACCCCCAAAACCCACTCAAATCCTTCCCACCAGACCCTCCTGAACCCCCAAACCCCTCAAGAACTCCCTCCAAACCCGCCCTGACTCCCAAATTCCCAACCCCAGGACCTGAAGCTGGACAACGTGATGCTGACGCCCATAGGGCACGTGAAAATCACGGATTTTGGGATGTGCAAGGAGAACATGTTCCTGGGGCCACCACCCCACCTTCTGCGCACCCCGACTACATCGCCTCGAGGTGAAAATGATGGAGGGACACCCCAAAATCCCTGGGAACACCCCAAAATTCAGGAGGGACCCCACAAAAAATAAATCCATGGAGGACTTGGGGTCACTGGGGACTCAAGGTGGTTTTTGGGGAAATGGTGGGTTCAGGGTCCCAGAGGTTGAGGTGGGGTTCAAGAACTGGGGACCCAAAATCTGGTGGGACCACCCATAAAGAAAATCCATGGAGGACTTTGGTGTCAGTGGGGATCCAGGTGAGGTTTTTGGGGAATGGGAGTTTGGGGTTCTGGTGGGTTTGGGGTCCCAGAGGTTGGGGCTCATAATTGGTACCCTAAAATCCAGGTGGACCCCAAAGTTTATGTGACGCCTCCAAAATCCATGGGGTCACTAGATCTCAGGTGGCTTTTTGGGGAAAAGGTGGGTTTGGGGGTCCCAGGGTCTGAGGGTCCCAGAGCCTGATGGGGTCCAGGGTTTTGGGTCTCCTGCCATTTTTGGTGCTGTTTTCCCAGATCATCCGACATACTAGCCCTACGGGAAGTCCTGACTGGTGGTCTTTAGGGTCCTCCTTACGAGATGCCATGCGGCAGGTGAGTTTGGGTCCCTAAAGATTTGGGAGGTCTTGAAGGATTTTTGGGAGGTTTAGGGTGATTTGTAGGGCTGGGGAGGATTTGGGGGCAGCTGGAGGTGATTTGGGGGTCTTGAGGGATTTAGGAGACCCTGATGGAATTCTTGGGGTGATTTGATGCCTTGATGATTTTTGTAGAGGCTGAGATGACTGAGGGGGTCTGAAGGATTTGGGGATCTCTGAGAATCGGGGCTGCGTGTCAGTTTGGGGGCGTTTTGGGTCCCAAATGATTTTTGGGGTCTCCTTCCTCCCCATTGCCCTCTCTCGATGGGGAGTGACTGAGGACCAGCTGTTCCAGTCCATCCTGGAGCAGACGGTGACTACCCCAAATCCCTGTCCCGCTGAGGCTGTCGCCTATCTGCAAGGGGGTGAGGGACCCTCCTCCTCCTTTTTCCCTCCATTTTCCCCTCACATTCCCCCCCATTTCCCAAAAATCTTCCTTTTTCCACATTTCCTCCATTTGCCTCCTCCACATTCCTCTCCATTTTCCCTCACATTTTCCACCCTTTTCCTCACATTTCTCATTTCCTCACATTTTCCCCTCACATTTCCTCCCTATTTCCCCTACATTCCCTCCCTTTCCTCCAAATCCTTCCCACCAGGACCCTCCTGAACCCCCAAACCCCCCCAAGAACCCTCCAAAACCCGCCCTGACCCCCCCAAATTCCCAACCCCAGGGACCTGAAGCTGGACAACGTGATGCTGGACGCCCAAGGGCACGTGAAAATCACGGATTTTGGGATGTGCAAGGAGAACATGTTCCCGGGGGCCACCACCCGCACCTTCTGCGGCACCCCCGACTACATCGCCCCCGAGGTGAAAAATGGGGGGGAGGACACCCCAAAAATCCCCAGAGAACACCCCAAAAAATTCAGGAGGGACCCCCCATAAAAAATAAATCCAAGGAGGACTTTGGGGTCAATGGGGATCAAGGTGGGTTTTGGGGAAATGGGTGGGTTCAGGGGTCCCAGAGGTTGAGGTGGGGGGTTCAAAAATTGGGGGGACCCAAAAAATCCCGGGTGGGACCACCCATAAAGAAAAAATCCAAGGGAGGGACTTTGGTGTCAGTGGGGGATCAGGTGAGGTTTTTTGGGGAAAATGGGTGAGTTTAGGGGTTCTTGGGTGGGTTTGGGGTCCCAGAGGTTGGGGGCTCATAAATTGGGGTACCCCAAAAATCCCAGGTGGGACCCCAAAGTTTAGCGGGACGCCCCCCAAAAAAATCCATGGGGGTCAATGGAGGATCCAGGTAGCTTTTGGGGGGAAAAAGGTGGGTTTGGGGGTCCCGAGGGTCTGAGGGTCCCAGGGGCTTTGAGGGTCTCAGGGGTTTTGGGGGTCTCCTTTGCCATTTTTGGGGTGTTTTCCCCCCCAGATCATCGCGTACCAGCCCTACGGGAAGTCCGTGGACTGGTGGTCTTTTGGGGTCCTCCTTTACGAGATGCTGGCGGGCCAGGTGAGTTTGGGAGGTCCTAAAGATTTGGGAGGTCTTGAAGGATTTTTGGGGAGGGTTTGGGGTGATTTGTGGGGGCTGGGGAGGATTTGGAGGCAGCTGGAGGTGATTTGGGGGTCTTGAGGGGATTTGGGGAGGAGCCTGAGGGGAATTTTTGGGGTGATTTGAGGGGGGGGCCTTGGAGGGATTTTTGGGGAGGGTTTGGGGTGATTTGGGAGTGATTTGAGGGGGGGTCTGGAGGGGATTTTGGGGGGATCTCTGAGAATCGGGGGCGGCCGTGTCAGTTTGGGGGCGTTTTGGGGGGATCCCAAATGATTTTTGGGGGTCTCCTTCCCCCTCCCCACAGCCCCCCTTCGATGGGGAGGACGAGGACGAGCTGTTCCAGTCCATCCTGGAGCAGACGGTGACTTACCCCAAATCCCTGTCCCGCGAGGCTGTCGCCATCTGCAAGGGGGTGAGGGACCCTCCTCCCCCCTTTTTCCCTCCATTTTCCCCTCACATTCCCCCCCATTTCCCAAAAAAATTCCCTTCTTTTTCCCCTCACATTTCCCTCCATTTGCCCCCCACAATTCCCTCCATTTTCCCCCTCACATTTCCCACCTTTTCCTCACATTTCCTCCATTTCCCTCATTTCCCTCACATTTCCCTCCATTTCCTCCTCCACATTTCCCCCTTTCCCTCACATTTCCCTCCTTTTCCCTCACATTTCCTCCATTTTCCCCTCACATTTCCTCCATTTCCCTCACATTCCCTTCCATTTCCCTCACATTTCCCCATTTCCCCTCACATTTCCTCCTTTCCCTCACATTCCTCCCATTTTCCCTCACGTTTCCTCTCTTTCCCCTCACATTTTCCCTCACATTCCCCCTTTCCCTCACATTCCTCCCATTTTCCCTCACATTTCCTCCATTTCCTTCCATTTTCCCCTCACATTCCTCCCATTTTCCCTCACGTTTCCTCTCTTTTCCCTCACATTTCCCTCACATTTTCCCCTCACATTTCCCTCCCTTTCCCCTCACATTTCCCTCCTTTCCCTTCCATTTTCCTCACATTTCCTCACATTTTCCCCTCACATCTCCCCCCATTTTCCCCTCACATTCCCCCCCTTTCCCCTCACATTTCCCTCACATTTTCTCCTCACATTTCCCTCACATTTTCTCCTCACATTTCCCTCCATTTTCCCCTCACATTTCCCTCCATTTTCCCTCACGTTTCCCCCTTTCCCCTCACATTTCCCTCCTTTCACCTCACATTTCCTCCATTTTCCCTCACATTTCCCCCATTTTCCCCTCACATTTCCCTCCTTTCCCCTCATTTTCCCTCACATTTCCTCCATTTTCCTCACATTTCCCCCTCACATTCCCCCATTCCCCTCACATTTCCCTCATTTCCCTCATTTCCCTCCATTTTCCCTCATTTCCCTCACATTTCCCTCACATTTCCCTCACATTTCCCTCCATTTTCCCTCACATTTCCTCACATTTCCCTCACATTTTCCCTCACATTTCCCCCATTTTCCCTCACTTCCCCCTTTTCCTCACATTTCCCCATTTCCCACATTTCCCTCCGTTTTCCCTCACATTTCCCCATTTCCCCTCACATTTCCCCATTTCCCCCAGTTCCTGACCAAGCACCCGGGGCGCCTCAGGGCAGGGCCAGGGGAGAGCAGGAGGTTCGGGTCACCCCTTTTCCGCCAGCACCGACTGGGAGCGACTGAGCGACTGGAGGTGCCCCTGTTCACTCCCGCCCCGGTGAGAGACCCCCTCAAAAAACAACACCCCAGGACCTCCAAAACCCCCAAACCCCCTGTTCACCTCCCGCCCGGTGAGACCCCTCAAACAACACTCCAGGACCCCCAAAAACCCCAAACCCCCTGGGAACCCCCAAACCCCCCGCTTCACCCCGCCCGGTGAGGACCCCCTCAAAACAACACTCCAGGACCCCCAAAAACCCCTAAACTCCCTGTTCACTCCCTGCCCGGTGAGAGCCCCCTCAAAAACAACACCCAGGACCTCCTAAAACCCCAACCCCCCCGTTCACCTCCTGCCCGGTGAGAGACCCCCTCAAAAACAACACCTCAGGACCCCAAAACTCCCAAAACCACCCTAGGAACCCCAAAACCCCCGTTCACCCCTGCCCGGTGAGACCCCCAAAACAACACCCCAGGACCCCCAAAAACCCCCAAAACCACCCGGAACCCCTAAAACCCCTCCTGTTCACCACCTTGCCCAGTGAGAGACCCCCAAACAACACCCCAGGACCCCAAAACAACCCAAAACCACCAGGACACCCAATTCTCTCCCCGGGACCCCCAAAACCCACCAGGACTCTCAAAATCCTTCAGAGATGCCCCAGCCTCCCTCCAGGGACCCCCAAACCCCTCAGGACTCCCCAGACCCCTCCAGGACCCCCAAACCCCTCCAGGACCCCCAAACCTCCCCTAAACCCCTCCAGGACCCCTCAAGCCCCTCCAGGACCCCCAAAACCTCCCCCAAACCTCCAGGAGCCCCAAACTGCTCCCAAAGCCACTCTCCAGGACCCCCAAACCCTGCCAAGAGCCCCCAAAACCTCCCCCAAACCCCTCCAGGACCCCTAAACCCCTCCAGGACCCCCTAAATCTCCCCCAAACCCCTCAGGACTCCTCAAACCCTCCAGGACCCCCAAAACCTCCCCCTGCCCAGATTTGGGGTCTCCCTAATTTGGGGTCCCTCCCACTAACCCCCTTCTCTCTCTCTCTGTGTCTGTCCGTCCGTCCCCGAGTCGTTTGTCTGTCCTTGCCCCCTCATTTTGGGATCCCCCAAATTTGGGGTTTGGGGTGTCTTTGTGTCCATCTGGGTCATGGGTGGGGATTTAGAGGTCTCTTTTGGGAGGGTTATTGGGGTCCAGGTTTGGGTCCCTTTATGCCTGGTTTTGGGCTCCCAATTTTGGAGTCCCCTTTTAGTCATATCTCTGGTCTCCCTTTGGGCTCCCAATTTTTAGGGTCTCTCTTTTGGGGTCCTTATTTTTAGGGTCCCCCCTTTTTTATGCTCCTGGTTTTTGGGGTCCCAATTTTTGGGGTCTCTCTTTTTTGGGGTCCTTATTTTTGGGGTCCCCCCTTTTTTATGCTCCTGGTTTTTGGGCTCCCAATTTTTGGGCTCCCTCTTTTTTTGGGGTGTTTTTGGGCTCCCAATTTTTGGGGTCCCCCTTTTTTGCTCCTATTTTTGGGGTCCCCCTTTTTTACTCCTATTTTTGATCTCCCAATTTTTTGGGTCCCTCTTTTTGGGGTCCCCCTTTTTTTACTCCTATTTTTGGCCTCCCACTTTTTGGGGTCTCCCTTTTTTATGCTCCCATTTTTGGCCTCCCAATTTTTGACCCTCCCTATTTTTGGGGTGGTTTGGCTCAATTTTGGGTTCCCAATTTTGAGCTCCCAATTTTTGAGGCTCCTCTTCCCACTCCCCTTTTCTATGCCCCTCCCTTTTTCCACCCTTTTTCCCCCAAATTCACATTTTTCCCCAAATTCCGGTTTTCCCCAAATTCGTGGTTTTCTCCCAAATTCTTTTTTTTTCTTTTCCCTAATTCTTGGGGTTTTTTTTCCCCCCAAATTCTGGATTTTTCCCCAAATTAATTTTTTTCCCCAAATTTGGGTGTTTTTTCCCCCAAATTCCGTTTTCTTCTCAAATTATTTTTTCCCCAATTCCTTTTTTTGTTTGTTTTTTTTTGTTTGTATTTTGTTGATGTTGTTTTTCTTTATTTGGTTTTGTGGTTTTTGTTTGTTCGGTTTGGGTTTTTTGTTTTGTTTTGTTTTGTTTTCCCAAATTTGGGCTTTTATTCCCCCAAATCCTTTTATTTCTTTTTCCCAAATTCATTGAGTTTTTCCCTAAATGTGATTCTCCCCCCCCCCCCCAAATTCTTTTTTTCCCAAATTCTTTTTCCCAAAAAAATCCTTTTGTTTTTCCAAACTCAGGTTTCCCCCTCCCCCAAAATCCGTGTTTCTTTCCCCCAAAATTTTTTTCCCCACGGGGTTTTCCCAAGAGCTTTTTCCCCCAAATTCGGGTGTTTTCCCCCAAATTCAGTGTTTTCCCCCAAATTCCATGTTTTCCCCCAAATTCGAAATTTTCCTCCAAACTCCTTCTTTTCTTTCCCCAAATTCCTGTTTTCCCCAAATCCTTTTTCCCCAAATTCTTTTTTTCCCAATTATTTTCCCAAAATTTTTTTCCCCAAAATCCTTCATTTTTTTCCAAACTGAGGCATTTCCCCCTAATTCAGTGTTTCCACTCGATTTCCCCAATTCATATTCCCCCAAAATCAATGTTTTTCCAAATTCATGTTTTTCCCCAAAATTCGAATTTTCCCCAAACTCCTTCTTTTTTTCCCCCAAATTCCTGTTTTTTCCCCCAAATCCTTTTCCCCCAAATTCATGGTTTTCCCAATCCTTTTTTTCCCAAATTAGTTTTTCCCCAACTTCTTTTTTTCCCGATTTTTTCCCAAATCCTCCTTTTTTTCCAAACTCAGGGCCTTTTCCCCCAAATTCATGTATTTCCCCCAATTCAATTTTCCCCCAAATTCCATGTTTTTCCCCAAAATTCATTATTTTCCCCAAAATCATGATTTTCCCCCAAATCCCTTCTATTTTTTTTTATTTTTTTCCCCCAAATTCCTGTTTTTCCCCCAAATCCTTTTTTTCCCCAAATTCATGGTTTTTCCCCAATCCGTTTTTTTCTTTCCCAAATTCGGGGTTTTCCCAAATTCTTTTTTCCCAATTTTTTTCCCAAATCCTTCTTTTTTTCCAAACTCGGGACGTTTCCCCCAAATTCAGGTGTTCCCCCTCCCCCAAATTCCATGTTTTCCCCCAAAATTCATGTTTTCCCCCAAAATTCATGTTTTTCCCCAAAATTACTGATTTTTTCCCCCAAATCCCTTCTATTTTTTTTTTAATTTTTTTTCCCAAATTCCTGATTTTTCCCCCAAAAAAAAACCCCCAAAAAATCAAAGTGCGGTCGGAACGGGGAGAACTTCGACAAGTTCTTCACCCGCGCCCCCCGCTGACCCCCGACCAGCTGGTCCTGGCGAGGCTGGACCAGGACGAGTTCTCGGGGTTCAGCTACACCAACCCCGACTTCCTGCACCCCGACCTGCGCCTCGCCAGCCCCCCCAGCTCCCTCGTCTGACCCCCCACCCCAAAAAAATATTTGGGGGGGGGTCCCGACCCCCAAAAATTCCTACACCCCGATTTTGGGGGGATTCTCCCTCAATTTGGGGCTCCCAGACCCCTCTTTAAACCCCCTCTCCCCAATTTGGGGGTTCCTGCACCCCGACCTGCGCCTCGCCAGCCCCCAGCTCCCTCGTCTGACCCCCACCCCAAAATATTTGGGGGTCCCTATCCCTCAGGGGCCCCTGACCCTATTAGGACCCCCATTGCAATTCCTATACCCCTACTTTAGAGGCTCCCCTCAATTTGGGGTTCCTGCACCCGACCTGCGCCTCGCCAGCCCCCCCAGCTCCCTCGTCTGAGCCCCCACCCCCAAAAATAATTTGGGGGGACCCCGACCCAATTTAGGACCCCCAAAAATTCCTACACCCCAAATTTGGGGCTCCCAGACCCCTCTTTAAACCCCCTTGTGTTCCTTTACCCCCCCCAATTTGGGGGTTCCTGCACCCCGACCTGCGCCTCGCCAGCCCCCCCAGCTCCCTCGTCTGAGCCCCCACCCCAAAAAAATATTTGGGGGGGGTCCCGACCCCCAAAAATTCCTACACCCCGATTTTGGGGCTCCCAGACCCCTCTTTAGAACCCCCAAAAATTCCTATACCCTGAATTTGGGGGTTCCTGCACCCCGACCTGCGCCTCGCCAGCCCCCCCAGCTCCCTCGTCTGAGCCCCCAAAAATTTGGGGTCCCCCGTCATGGAGGACCCCCCGTGTTCCTACACCCCATTTAGGGCTCCCAGACCCTCTTTAAACCCCCTGCCCCTCAATTTGGGGTTCCTGCACCCCGACCTGCGCCTCGCCAGCCCCCAGCTCCCTCGTCTGACCCTCACCCCAAAATATTTGGGGACCCCGACTAATTTAGACCCCCTGTGTTCCTACACCCCCATTTTGGGGGGATTCTCCCTCAATTTGGGGCTCCCAGACCCCCCTTTAAACCCCCTCCCACCCCCGAATTTGGGGGTTCCTGCACCCCGACCTGCGCCTCGCCAGCCCCCCCAGCTCCCTCGTCTGACCCCCACCCCAAAAATTTGGGGTCTCCTCTGATTTAGGACCCCCATCCCTATCCCTGTTTTGGGGTCCTCGATTGAGGAACCCCTTATTTATGGCTCCTCCCCCTCCCCCAAATTTGGGAGTCCCTGACCTCTCTTTAGGACCCCCTCCTAAATTTGGGGTTCCTCCTTAGGACCCCTTAATTCCTACACCCCGATTTTGGGGACTCCCCGAATTTGGGGTCCCCCCTTCATTTAGGACCCCCTTGTTCCTTCAGCCCGATTTGGGGGCTTCGATTGGGGAACCCTTATTTTGGGAGGTCTCACCCTTAAATTTGGTCGTCTCCCCCTTTATTTTGGGGTCTCCCCCTTTATTTTGGGGTCTCCCCTAAAATCAGGTTCCCCCATTCAAATTTAGGGTCACCTACCTTAATTTGGGGTCTCCCCTTAAATTTGGGGTCTCCCCCTCGTTTTACCCCCCAAAATTCCCCTCTCCCAAATTTTTGGGGTCTCCCCCTTTAAATTCAGGACTCTCCCTAAATCAGGTTCCCCCTAAATTTGGGGTCTCCCCTTAAATTTGGGGTCTCCCCCCCTATTTTACTCCCCCAAACCTCCCCTCAATTTTTGGGGTCTCCCTAAATTTGGGGTCTCCTCTCCCATTTTACCCTCCCCAAACCTCCCCCTCAATTTTTGGGGTCTCCCCTAAATTTGGGGTTTCCCCCTCATTTTACCCCCCACCAAAACCTCCCTCAATTTTTGGGGTCTCCCCCAGATTTGGGTGTCCCCCAGCTGTGACTCCCCGGGATGAGCTGGAGGAAAGACCCCTAAAACCCCGAACCCCCAAAAAAACCCGGACCCCCAAATTCTCCCCAATTCCTCCCAAAAACTCCCCGGAACCCCAAAATCCCCAACCCCCACCGGACCCCAAAACCCCCAAAATCCCCCAAATCCACTCCCTTTATAAAGCGAATGAGCCAGTGACGAGTCGAGACTTTTTTTTTTTGGAAGTCCCAAAATCTGGGGGAGGGTCCTAAATTTGGGAGGGGTCCCAAAATTTGGGAGGGTTCAGGAGGGTCCCCAAAATTTGGGTGGGGAGGGTTTGGTGGGGTCCCCAAGATTCTGGGACCCTTTTTTTGGGAGGGTTCCCAAAATTTTTGAGTGGGAGGGTCAGGTGGGATCCCAAAATTCTGGGACCCTTTTTTTTTGGTGGGAGGGTCCTGGAGTCCATTTTTGATCGCGGGTTTTGGGAGGTCCCCAAAATTTGAGGAGGGTGTTGGGAAGTCTCCATTAATGGAAGTCCCCACATTTGGGGGTCCCCATTAGTGGGGGGTTTCCATCACTCGGAGGATATTTTGGGGGTCCCCATCATTGGGGGGTCCCCATCATTTGGGGGTCCCCATCAATGGGGGTATTTGGGGGTCCCCATTCAGTGGGGGTCCCCATTATTTGAGGGGTCCCCATAAGTCAGGGGGTCCCCATTGATTTGGGGGTCCCCATAAATTGGGAGTCCTCATAAATTGGAGGGTCCCCATTTATTTGGGGTCCCATAAATTGGGAGGTCCCCATAGATTGGGGGTCCCCATTCATCTGGGAGTCTTCATCACGCGGAGGTGTCCCCATTTATTTGGAGGCTCTCCATAAATTGGGAGGTCCCCATTCATTTGGGGGGTCTCCATAATTTTGGGGAGCCATATATTGGGGGATATTTGGGAGGTCCCCATCATTTGAGGAGTCCTCCTTCGTTTTGGGGGTCTCCATCATCTCGGGTGGTTCCCATCATTTGGGGGTCCCTGTCAATGGGAGTCCCCATCATTTGGGGAGTCCCCATCATTTAGTGGGGTCCCCATCAGTGGGAGTCTCCATCCCATGAGGTCTCCATCACTTAGGAGGGTCCTCATCATTGGGAGTCCCCATCATTTGGAGGTCGTCCCCATCATTTGGGGAGTCCCCATCATTTGGGGGTCCCCATCAATGGGGGCTCCATAATTTGAGGGTGGTCCCCATCACTTAGGGGTGGTCCCCATCACTCGGAGGTCTCCATCATTAGGGAGTCCCCATCATGAAGTGGTCCCATCATTTGGGAGTCCCCATCAATGGGGAGTCCCCGTCAATAAGGGGGTCCCCATCATTGAGGGTCTCCATCATTTGGGGTCCCCATCATTTTGTGGGGGTCCCCATCACTTAGGGGTCCCATCAATGGGGCTCCATAATTAGGTGGTCCCCATCATTTAGGGAGGTCCCCATCATTTGGAGGTCCCCTACTCAGGTGATATTTTGGGAGGGTTTCGCTGTGTGTGTGATTTTTGGGGTGTCCCTTCAAAGGCGCGGCCCCGTGACATCAACGGTGGCCACGGGGGGAGAGGCGTGGAGGAAGGGACACACGACAGCCCTCCCCCTCCCTCCCCCTCCCCCTTCCCAAAACGCTTCCCCTCCCCCTTTCCATCCCTCCCCCTCCCCTTTTCGGCCCGCGCGCTCGAGCGTGCCCGTCCGTGGGGTCCGTCCGTCTGTCCGTCCGTCCGTCCGTGGGGTCTGATCCGTCCGTTGAGGTCTGTCCGTCTGTCCGTGGGTCTGTCCGACAACCCCCGCCCCCTCCCCATCACCGCCATCACCCAGCGCGGCCGCCGCATCGGCCCCGCGTCCGTCTGTCCGAGACCCCCTCGTGTCCGTCTGTCCGTCCTTCTCCTCTCCATCCCTCTGTCCTTCATCCCCCGCGTGTCCGTCTGTCCGTCCTTCCTCCCTCTCCATCCCCGCGCGTCCGTCTGTCCGTCCTCCCTCCGCATCCCTCTGTCCTTCATCCCCCCCCGCGTGTCCGTCTGTCCGTCCTCCCTCTCCATCCCCGCGTGTCCGTCTGTCCTTCCTCCCTCTCCATCCCCCCCGTGTCCCTCTGTCCTTCTCCCCCCCCGTGTCTGTCTGTCAGTCCTCTCCATCCCCCCCGTGTCCATCTGTCCTTCCTCCCTCTCCATCCCCCGTGTCCCTCTGTCCGTCCGCCCTCCCCGCATGGCGCATCCTCCTCTCCATCCCCTCCCCCGTGTCCGTCCGTCTGTCCGTGTCCCCCCCGCGTGTCCGTCTGTCCTTGCTCCTGCGCATCCCTCTGTCCTTCCACCCTCATCCATGTGTCCTCTGTCCCCACCTCCATCGCTGTCCTCTGTCCTTCCACCCCTCCATCCCCGCGTGTCCCTCTGTCCCGTCCTTCCTCCCCTCCCCGCATCCCTCTGTCCTCCACCCCCCGTGTCCGTCTGTCCTTCCTCCTGCGCATCCCCGCGTCCCTCTGTCCTTCATCCCCTCCCCGTGTCCGTGTCCGTCTGTCCTTCCCTCTCCCCCTCCCGCGTGCATCCCCCGTGTCCCTCTGTCCTCCATCCCCCGTGTCCCTCTGTCTGTCCTCCTCTCCCTCCGCATCCCCCGTGTCCGTCTGTCCTCCACCCCCCATTGTCCGTGTGTCCTCCACCCCGTGTCCCCGTCCTCCATCC